TGGAAAGGAAACACAATGGCAGCTATAGCTGTATTACTATCGAAACTTAACAAGTGATATACCCCGTACTACTCCCCACATAACCTCCCGGGTTGACGCGGAACCTCCTGCTTGGTTTTTCCATTGTATTTTCTCTGTGTTGGTCTCTGTTTAGAGGAGGGAACAGCTACGCCCTTCTCACATAACACTCAGCTGAGTAGAGGAAGAACAAACACCATGAAGGATCACTCCATAGGACATACATAGGACTTATGTACAAGGAAGTATATATTTAAAAAAGTACCCAGTTGATTTTACATCTTGCCCTAAACAGCCGTGCCTTGCAGAGAAGTCTTTTTAGCAGACTTAAAGTGATTTTCCCATTGCCTGAATAGTTTTAATCAGCAATCATGTAATTTTAATTGTCGAATACTAATAACATAATTTCAATGATTGTGCCCTTCCAAATTCTAAACTGCTGAACTATTTCAGCCAGCAGCCTCTAGCAGGCTTGCCAACATGGTTGTGAGGACTGGTGAGACAGAGCCTTGGGAACTTCCAGTAATATTCTAGGACATAAGTGGGCTGGGATCAACATTCTTTGCTTTATTTTTTATTCATTCCTTAACTAGACTACACTGTGGATTTAGGTGACTTTACTGCAGCAAATGCAGGTTTTGGTGGCGCTAAGGTGGCTTAGTTTATCACTGCAAATACTAATACTGACAGCCATACGCGTACATAACATAACTGTCTTCAAAGCCCTATGCACATACTGGTACAGCTCCATTTAAATCACCTTTACTAAATAACAAACTGTCTAAGAAGCAACAAAGGCATCTGTTAGCATTTGGTGACCAGATCTAGTTTATGAGGAGCCCATCTTTGTATAGCAAGCTGTGTCTAATACACACAGACACCACATTTTGTTGTTTTGTTTCTGCATATATAATTCGGACAGGGATAATATCTTATTCTACCACCACCTGTGCAAGCCAAAGCAAACAGTAAAAAAAAAAAAAAAAAAAATGCGTTTCTGCTCACAGCGATATGAATCACAGCCCACAGAGGCTTTATGAAAATGTAAGTGTAGCCCCAGAGAGGCAAAGACAAAGAAACAGAGAGATAAAAGAGCTGTGACCATCCACTCTATTCCCACTGGCTTCTCTCCTCCATCAACCTGGCAATGCCAAGGAAATACAGTTCATTATCATTGATCACACTAGACTCCACACTCCCACATGTACTCTAAGGAGGTTACACACATATATACTCAGCAAAGCACCCGCCTAACAAGGTAACCTAAATTGATGTCTGTAGCCTCAGTGCCTGGTAAAATTAAAATCATCTAAGTCTTGTCAAGAACGGCTTTCATATATGCCGAGTTACCAGGTTTTGATACAAGCCCTCTGGAACTGGCAAGACAAAAGAGGATTATGCAGTAGCAGTAACTCTCACGCCCATAGCGGACAACGTTTTATTGCCATGCAATTTACCCTAGCTGCAGTAATTACTCTAAATTGCAGTTCTGTGGTGCAGTAATATCAAAGCTTTGGACCAAGACCTTGTGTGTGTGTGTGTGTGGGTGTGTGTGTATCAGCACACATGTTCATGTAGATGGGTGAGGTGGGAAAGGCAGAATGTTGATAGACATCCGGCATCACTAGGATCATGAATATTCAACAGGGAATTTGAATGTTAGTGCAAATGAGTTCGCAGTGAACGCAAGAAAAAGGTATTCTACTTCCTTTGTAATGAGTGGGACATGACACGATGCCTGCCGAGGGATAATGTGGCACCTTTAGAGATAACACTCTTCAGGATGAGGTGCTCAGTTTCGGCGCTAAAACTTTCTTGGAAGCACTTTGGTTGAACCCAGAGTTCCTCTCTGAATCCTACTCTACAAAGTTAGCATAATCTCTAGCTATGTCATCAAAAAGTAGAAGAAAAGTGGCCAGTGTGATGCACGATATTACTCACATATGCACTCAGATAGTGCTTGTGTGAAGTTTGACAGTTTTGAAGATGAAGATGCAGCAAAACTTGCAAATTTCTGCCTGTAGGTCACCACAGGTGGATCACTGGGACAACAAGAACACCTTTATGTTCTCCTGGCCTGAGGTCTAATACAAGCCCTTCCACATCCTTCTTTCATTCCTCTCTTCTTTTCAAAGGCCCACAAAGTGGCGCTTCCTCCTCTCATACAAAGGCTAGAATATTCAGCCAACATTAGACCTACTAACCTATGGCTCACAGTTCAGAACACAAAGTGGCATCAGTGGGTGTTAAAGAGGGCATCTATGTCCCTGCCAGTGCAGGTATGGCCAGGCATTTTCAGGGTCAATCTTCAGTTCAGAGCTCATTAACCTTGTTCAACGTGATTATTTGTGTCTATCTGCAGGTCTGTCTGTCCTTTACCTGAAAAACCACCGCAACCAACAACATGGCTTCCTTCATCAATCATCTATTGTCTGCAGAGCTGCATCCAGGAGCACGTCCCATACATCCATGCCCCTCGTCATGGCCGGTTGCTGATATTCACAGCGTGTCTAGATTTGGTCCCATAGCTGACAATTCGAAACACTTTTGGGCCAGGTGAGCTTCAGGTCAATACCTCAAAAAGCCAACCCTCTGAGACAAAAAAAGGAGCTTGCCCATGTCTTGGAGTACAAACAAATGGGCTTCCTTCCAACACTCCTCTAAGGCTGATCGGTGTTCTGACAACCATCCAGCCCTACTGTCTGAAACAGTTAGGCTGCAGAGGGAACAGAGGCGTTTCGATCAATACAAGCTCATTATCTATTGCCTTCTGTCCTAGCAAGATGAGTCCCAGCACTCGGCCTGTTGATGAGGAAAGCGCACCACAATTCAATTAGGGGATGGCCGAGATGCAAAAAGAGGTTTGATCAAAGCACTCTGTCGGGCTAATTAGCACATGCAGTGGTTCACAAGGGCTATTTTTACATCTGAGGAGCAGAGCATGTTGTTTTGTTAATGGCAGTTTTACCCTGTAATAGACTGGGAATAACCTGGCTCATTGTCAATGCATAGGTTTCAGCCAGGAGAGAGTTGGGGGGGCCCTTGTGCTGCTCCACACGCATGCACACATGTATATTCATGTGAGCACACTAACATACATACACACACACACACACACACACACATAAACACACACACCTACAACCCGATGCCCTTTCGAAAGGTCATGCATGGTTTAATGCGACCCCTCTTTGGAGGTTAAAGGCATAAGTGCGTATGTGCATGAGTGTGTGTTTGCATAGACAGGAAGCGTCAGGTCCTCTAGAAACAGAGCCAGGGGGAAAATGAAGCTCTTTCCAGGAATCTTCTGGGACTTTTTAGGAAACCCACTGACAGCTTTATAAACCTCTTAACAAATGGTTGAGCACTTCTCTCTAAAGAGGCAAAAAACATCTGAAGTCAGGGAAGGAAAACAGGTGTGTCCCTCAAGGTGTTTGTGTGTCATCAGAGAGTGGCTGAGAATTTCAATTAGAAAGCAACACTGATACCACTGTGACCTAAACCATACAGACTTCTGAGTTCCCTGTTTACAGGGCTGAAACCTGAAAGATACAACAGTGTTACACACAAATACAAACCAGCTCTCTATTAATTTGAAAGATGAAGTGGGGAAAGG